GGTTAAAATTGAAAAATAAAATAAATAAATTTTAATTATTTTATTATTTCATATAGGTGGGGGTATAGAAAGAGTAGGGTGAAAGAAGTAGCAGGGGTGGCGTTAGAATACCCCGTAAACTATTCTTCTATAAGATAATCTCATGTGTGTGTGTATATATATATATACACACACACAAATAGACACAAAGACACACACACACACACATATATATATATATATATACCTTATTACATACAGAGAATACAATGTTTTTCTATTAGAAAAAACCAAATATATTAAATCAAAACAGTACCATACTTGTAGGTAGAGATGGCCAAAAACCGGTCCCAGTCCGGTCCCAGGCCGGTCCCAATCGGTCCTCACCTTTCTCATAACCGGCCATAACCGGTCCCGGCGTAACCGGTCCCGGTCTCGGTCCTTGTCCCTGTCCCGGTCGAAAATGATAGGACCGGTATAGGTACTTTATAACATGTTATGGGCCGCCGGTCCCGGTCTCGGTCCCAACCGGTCCCAACCGATCCTTGCATTAAAAAAATAAGATTTTTATTTTATTTTTTTAATGATATATATTTTTAATACATTATAAAATTTACAATTGGGTCATTCAAATATACTTTAAAAATGCGTTTTAATATAATTAAAATTACGTTTTCTTATAAAAATACATTATARAATTATTTAAAAATRCATTTATTTATAAAATTAATTGAATTTTCGGGCCGGGCCGGGCCGGTCCATAGTCGGTCCCATAACCGGTCTCGGTCCCGGTCGGTCCCGGTCCCACGAAACTACCAAAAACCTCAACCGGTCCCGGTTTTCGGTCCCATAACCGGTCCTTACCGGTCCCGGGACGGTCCTTTGTTGGTCCCGGTCCCGGTCCTCCTGCGGTCCCGGGCCAGGCCGGGCCCATTTGGCCCTCTCTACTTGTAGGGTTGGGTCAACTCGCAATAAGGATAAGTTATCAGTTCAATTCCTGTAAAGCCATTAAAAATTTTCCTAGTTGTTCTTCATCCGTCTGAGATTAATCGAGGTATGCACAAACTGATTCGGACATCCATGATTAATAAAAAAAATAGCTATAGATCACAAGTGCAAAAAGGTCATTTACTCACTTTGTACAAATTCAAACCAAGCTTTTCGTCTTTATCTTTCTTTAATTTCTATTTAAGAAGACATAAAATACAAACTCAAATGGGGTCTCCGTTTTTTATTAATATTTTTTTAATTTTATGTATAAAAAGCAAAAAATACACATTTTTCTTGACGATGAGATATAACTAAGAATAATGGGAAAGGGTAGGATGTATACAGACCAGGTCAGAGGACAGTTGGAAAACAAAAAATAACAGGAACAATATATGAGAATCCTAATTTGACAACCATCACACTTCTCTAACAGATCTCGAACAGGTTGATTACATATATAATTACTTTATACCCCTTTTATATAATCCAGCAATGTTAGTAGAGTCTCTATAATTCTTCACTGATCAGTGATTCAAGAACTTGTGCCAGATCTTCAACACCACACACCCACTTGAAGACGGTCGAAACTGACAAGTTAAATCCACCACACCCATCTTCGATCTTCTAAAATTCTAGGATCCAAATTCATCTTTGTAATTGTAAGCTAGTCTGTTCTCAGGTTCCGATGGCTGCAAATTTAGCATCAAGTAAATGCCTTGTAATTGAGGGAAGTTCCTTTAGGAACCCAAAATTGATTAGGAACCCAGAACACCGCCCACAGCGCATCATGTGTTTCTCTTCTGGATGAATATTTCATCATGAATAACACATTCATAATGAGTATGTATGTGTAATTGACGTGTTATTCATCATGAATCACACATTCATGAAAAATATGATACAACATTCATGATGAATAACACGTCCAGATTCTTGATGAATATGCCACATGTCGCACCGTGAGCAGTTCCCAGATTCCTAATCAATTTTAGGTTCTTAACCGAAACTGGCCCACCTCATATCTCAAGTAAAATACAGAAGACACTCGTAAAATAAATGAACTTATTTTATCATAGACAGACATGGGTAATTCATGGCAAAAAGAAGGCTTAAAATTGGTATTTCTCCATCCTTGTGCGACCTAATGAGAACTTCCTTTATTTAGTCAAGTCTGATTCTAAGAACACCAAAATTTTGTTCAAAACAAGAGTAGCGTACCTGTACCATTGACTTAGCACCATGTAAGATTGGAGACAGAGATGGTCAGAGTAACAGGAAACTAGCAACTGCATCTTGTATTTGTCCAGTAGCCAGTCCATATGCGTCATTGATCCTAAATCTGGATCCAGAAGATTCAAGTACCGTGAAAATGATCACTGAAACCCACAAGAAAATGAACTGTTAACATTCAAGATTGCAGTTGCAGAATGACACTCTATCAAGCATCGCAGAAGAGTGACCGCTGCAGCCTTCCTCTACCAAAATTTGAAGTTTTTAACTCTTAGATTGAGATTATATACATCAATTTCAATGAAACGTGCCACAGGTTTTCACAACCTGTTATGTTCAATAGAGAGAGACTCAAGGTCTCCGATGGCTTGACAAACAAATGCCAAACTGCTTCCAACCCATAAGAATTATGATCTCAGTGGTAGAAATTCAGGAGATATTCTAGATTTTGACAAGATTGGGCATCCAAAGATTCAGAATCTTCAGTGATTAAGAACCTGTTCCGAAAGTAACTAGATATGTTGGTCACTGCACATCAATTTTAGGACTGTCAAAACTAAGAAGCTTAAACATTGAACTCCATACCATGGGTGGACGAAGAGTGTGGTTCATAGATGAAATTTGTGCCAGCTTAGCCATATTAAATCTTCTGGAAACTTCTCCGGGACCATGGATGCTTCCTTAGAAAGTTTCCACATCTGAAAATTATGGTGGTAGCTTCTGAGATCGTCCGGTTTTTCTCCATCCTTGTATCTCTATAACAATGTAAGAATATAAGATACAAAGAACTTTCTTTATTTGTAGCTAAATTCAAATTTTAGAACGCCAAAATTAGCTCTGACAAGAAGAGCATACCTGTATAGTCGATGTTATTACCAACAGCATCCCTAAACCAACTAGGGGTTGGTCCATCAACCTCCATTGACTTGAAGAAATCACGACGACAGAGATAGTATGTTTTTGTGCTCAGCTGAAATGCAGACAGATAATCTACAAGAATTTTCTCCCATTCCATATTATTGTGCCAGGTATCATTCTCTACTTTATCATTGGCGTACACAAGGCTTGCACCACACTCATGTACCTTCAATCCATTCTCCACAATAATAGACACATTGACTTTGTCACCAACATCTAGTACTTTTTCCATTGCCCAATAGCTTAACCATATAGCAACTTCACCAATTCCAGGTCTACCAAAGATCATAGGGTTGTAAATCCAATCATGACCCTTGGTTGTGTTACTGATTTTAGCAAATATCGGCCCTACATGTTTCTCTTGGCCAGATGTTGTATATTTGAATTTCACATCTATTCCTTTAAGCCTGTGATTCTTAGGAGGTGAAGGCACATCGAAGGATAAGGGTGAGGACTGTGAAGCGTACTCACATGATATGTTTGGATCCTTTATGTCTGGCAGAAATACGCTCATTATACCAAATTCGTACAGCATCTGTGCTACACAAGTTACAGAATTCAGTCATTCATATGTTACTCAGCATAAGACCATGTTTGGCAACCATAAGCTAGCCTATTTTTCAGCTTATTCAAAAAGCCCCATTTGGTTCGCTAGCTTTTTGAAAAGCTACTTCAAGTAGCATTTCAATAACTCCAGGGGACTTTTCCGTTTAGATTTTCAGCATGTCCTTTTAGGTCATTTTACATTCTCATCTAGCTTTATCGGCTAGTTTTTTAGCAAACATGAGTAGTTTATCAACCAACAGCTAGCTTATCAGCTAGTATGCCAAACATAGCCTAAAAGTGGTAGTTTGATGTGCTTGTGCAGGTGTTTGAGTGAGGAAGAAAGAACCTGGATATGGCAACTTCTGCCAGCTGTGAGCTGATAATCACTGATCAGACACAGCTCATGATTTTGATATTCTTTGAGCCACTTCATATGTCCCAAATCTGTTTCATCCATTTTGGATATCGGCACCAATTTTAGAAGGCCTTCAATTTCCAACAGATTGATACAACCTTCATAATCAATCTCTCGCAAAGTAAACTGATGTGTTTGGAAAGTTATTTTCTCCAATGACGTACAGCACGTAGTAAACAACTCTTCTAGTGTACTCGGGAGACACTCGATGCACTTAAGTTTTGAGCAAAAACTCAAGTCAAGTACCCGAAGACTTTTAAGATGATTGTAATCAGGTAAGAACTCAAATAAATTACTGCCTAAATGCAAGTACTGCAAAAACGATTGGACTTGGAAACTCAATAAAAAACTATTATTACGCTCAAGATTGCAACTTTTCAGCAATAGCCGCTCTAACGAGTGCGGAAAGAAAAACAACGGCTGTTGTGGACTCTGTCCACCATAGTCCGAGGCTTTTAACCCTTCTGATGGGTCAATATGCTCCATCTTTAACAGTTGTTCACACCCTGTCATGTTCAATAGAGCAAGACTCGTAAGCCCTTGAATGGTTTCACAAACACGAACCAAACTGTAACAGTTCCAAAGAATCAAAGTTTCAAGATTAGGAAGTCGGGAGATATTGCGGATTTCCTCTAGACTATGTGAGTCTTTAAAGTTTAGAATCTTCAGTGGTCTGATAACCTGTTTCAAAAGTCATAAGATTTATTTAGCAATGCACAGCCCTGGGAAAAACTTCAAAACTGAGTAGGTAAAAGGCCAAAAAATTACATAAAAAAGGGTACCCTTAAATCCCTACCATGGGTGGTTCAAATATTCTTAATTTGCTATAACTCATGTCTATAGCTACTAAGTTCCCCATGAATAACTCTGACGGTACGGTTCCTAAATGAAATCCATGCCAGCACAGCCATCTCAAATCTTCTGGAAATTCATCATAGGACCCATTTAATTCCACATAGTTGAGCTGGAGCAACTTTAGATTATCCATCTTTGCAAGTGAATCTGCCTCAAAGGCTTTTTGCTGCAAATTTAATGAACAGTGAGTTAGCACCTCTTCTAGAGTTAATTGTTCCAAAGAACCTGAAGTATTGCAAAGTTACCCCTTAAGCACCTAAAGACCTTTAGAGGTCTTCGCTAACTCCCTCTCAGGTCAAAACCCATCCACAACCCTCAGATCACATAACACCACCCATCATCGTGGTTAACTCGGCAAAAAAAAGATATTGCAACAGATCCTCTTCTAAACATAGTTAAAGGCAATGCTTCCAAGTACCTTCTTTCATCTAGTTTTTTTCTTGTTTCTATAAAACAATGATCCTAGTCGTATACGCTTCCAAGGTTTAAGCAATTAAGAAGGCCCTCTCCTACCCGTGTTGTTTAAAATTGGTCACTTAAGTGAGGGGGACGTTAGCTATATAGGACCCAGAAAAGTTCGCGTGAGTGCATAAGATTGCAATTCTTCAGGTGTTGTTCTTTACTTTAATGATTTCATAAGAAAATTATCAATTGCTCATTTGGAATAAGGCACCATTTTCCGCTCCTCCATCATTACCATGTTACGCTCCTCTTCCCTCACCATTCGCATGTCAAGTGTTAGACCTTCTATAGTTTCTGAACCCTAATGAACAAAGGGATGAAACAAGAGAATGTCAGTTGAAATAGAGAGATAGAAAGTAAGCTTAAACATGTACAAATAGCATCACCTTTCCTTGTCTCAACAGAGTGTAAGAGTCCTCATTAGACCAGACTCTACTGCGTTTTGCAGGATTCGTGGGTGATTCTTTACTTACTATCCTTCTTGCCATCTCTATAAGCACTCCATGCATCATGAGTTTGTTGCTTGGTGAAACAGTAAGAAGGCATCTCTTAATTAGGGTTACAATCCCAGCTGTTGCACAGTAATCAGGCTCCAATATCTTCACCACATAATCTTCATCCTCTCCAATAAAGAAACAAGCAATATGCAAAAACAACTCTCGGTAAGTGATATATGGCAAGTAGTCAAAGCTCATTTGGAGTATATCTTGTATTCTGTAATCAAGGTCTCTTTCTAACTTCAATTTACTCATCCAATATTCTATGTTATTTCTTTTTCGTGAGTCTTTAGCACTAACAAATAAAGAACCCAGCAATTTAAGAGCCAATGGATTTCCTGCACAATACTGGGCTGCTTTTAATGCGAGCTCCTTGAAACCTTCCATGGGAATTTTGGATCCAAAGGCATGCCAACTTAAAAGCTCTAATGATTCATGTTCATTCAATAACTCAAGTTTGTGCTCTCTACACCTCCGAGACTCAAACCATTCCCGTATAGTTGAAAGCCTACTTGTTATAATAATCTTGCTTTCTGTATTAATCTTTTCCGTTCCAAGTAAAGCTTCTAGCTGGTCCTTTTTATCAATGTCATCAAGAACAATAAGCAACCTTTTCTCTTGTAAGGCCGTCTCAATCTGATTTTTATACGAAGTAACATCAAGTTCTTTTTTCTTTCCCTCCAAAATGTCTGCAAGAAGTTGCTCCTGTAGCACACACAAACCCTGGGGTTGCTCACATATCTTTGCAATGTCTTCAAGAAAACTGCTACTTTCAAACTTAGGCAAGTTCGAATCGTAAATATATTTTGCCAGTGTCGTCTTTCCACTTCCTGCCATGCCACAAATTGCAAGAACTTCAGCATCTTGCTTATCTTTCACCCAGAAATTGATATGTTCAGCTCGAGTGTCCATGCCGGTTAGATGTGGTGGAGTACAAACTAATTTGAGACGTAGCTTATCGCCAATGGTATTAACAATATCTGCGATAAACTTCGTTTCAGGCCTGGAACAATGAAAGTGGGAAGATGAGCATGTACAGAATATGACATTAAAATCCTTAAAAACTGGGTCCAACTTGTTTTGATCAATGTCCTCCATTTGTTGGTCCCACCTTCATTCCTTACATCAGGTAAATGGGATGCAATCACATTTCCGTTACTCCTCACACCAAGTAAACGGGACCCAGAAATGAAAATGGTGAATTTCTATAAATGAACAGGTCCTTAAAATCTTTGATTATAACGCACAACCCAAAAATACTTGCTACATGATTTGCTTTCAACTTTAAAATGAAGAGTTGGAGGAGGCATTCTCCTTGATCTCTAGTTAAAAATCTCACTTATAGTGTATGTGGGTGCAGATCTTAATAGAGACTGGATTCAAATAATGAAAATTTTGAGTTAGATACCACAATGGCCGGGTCGGATAGATGTTGAAAGAGCAGTTTTTTGGTTGATTACATTAGTATGTAGATAGCCTATTACATCAACTATCATTATTACTTTCTCTCAGTCTCTTCTTTTCAAAATCTGAAGTTTCAGTCCTCACTCTCACTCTTCCCATTATAAACATACACAATTGCATGCATGTTTTTCTGCAGGACAGTCATAAATAGTAAGGAGAAGAAAATTAAAAATAATCTATGTACATAACCAAATAATTGGCGACATTAAGATCTATTTGATTCACTTAAACAAAAGTTCCTTGAGTATTTCAAGTACATACTTTAAGTGGGAACAACAATTCCATCGAGTGAATATGTATCTATCTATCTATACTATATTATAAAGCATTTGACAAGAACTCTTAAAAACCATTTTGTATACATTAAGTACTGTTTATTAATGCATATTACTTAAAATTCAAGATTACAAGTAATTTGTGCGTACATACAACTTATTAAAGCTCCACGTTTGAATTCGTGTAACTAATTGTAGATAAACATAATCAAATATTGGATAGATATCTCATATTAAATATAAGAAATCTAAATATATTTAAGATAATAGTTGAATTCTAACAAAATACTAATTATTATCTTTATAAAAAAATTATATTATTAAACCAAAAATAAGTGACTTCGTTATTAAATCTAAATTAAATTATAATAAACAACTGCATTAAAGAAATTACACAAAAAAACAAGAACTTTTAAATATTTAATTTTATACTAAAATGATACGTTTTTTTTTTCAAAAATTTTATAATACCTTCAAATTTATATTTTATTCAAAAAATAAAAACAATATCATTTTTTTCAGTACCACATAAAATCGTATTATAACATCGATGGAGACAAAATAAAACGAAATATTAAAATCGAGATGTATCTCGCTGCATTGCGCGAGTACCTTCTAGTGTGTGTGTGTAATTATTCGGTAAAAACTATCCAAAACAACTTATTAAGCATTATCATTATGTATCGTTTATTAACGTAAATGTCTTAAATTCAAGGTTACAAATTATTATAGCATACGTACAACTTTTTAAAACTCTTTGAACTCCAGGAAACTAACTAATACCCCACTGATGAACACATTAAAATAAAAGATAATCATTGAGCCCTGTGATTATGAGAGAACACTCTTATCATTATCTTTATCAAAAAAAATCATCATTAAAACTAAAATAAAATAAATCTTTATTTTTTAATCTAAAATATGTAAAATTATAAAAAAAAAAAAGTATTGAATTAAACAAACCATACCAAAAAAACTAGAACTTAATAATCTTTAATCTGACACTCGTATCAATATATTTATTTCGAATTCTTTTACCGGATCTTCAATTACAAAAATATGGTTCAACCACTTGTAATTATATTTTCTTTGAACATAAATTTAGGGTTTTCTTTTTCAAATGAGAAGTTCTATTGATTTTCCATTATCAGTTTACAATATAACCTCACATCCGATGTATTGCATGGGTACACAACTAGTATATATACATTATGTATATATATAGAGAGAGACAGATGATTCGTCAAGAAGAATTCAGGTTGCATATGAATTGTTATATGGGAGCATAGTACGTAATTTGTATAAAGACAGAAGCATGTAACCTTTAGGCAGAGACAGATGCGCATACATCCCACCCTTAGACCCTACCCATGTGGATTTACTGGGTTCATATGGTTTGATTTGGTTTACAGAAGCATGTATCCTAATGTACAGCTGTTCACATACATATTAAGCAACATAGCTGTTTCGCCGTCAAACAAAAAGACTTGTAATGGAAGATTTTATTTTTGGGGGAAGGAAATGGTAATTGGCAAGCCTTTTGAAGAGTTGTTTGGTCAATTGAAATAAAACTAATGAAGTTTTCTAGTGTAAATAGCAATACATTTTCAAGTTTGAAACAACACTTCTACTTGATAAGCATTTTAGACAAACTCTATAACAAGATGAACTAATAAACTCCTAAAGTTGCTAGCTAAACAGGATCGTTGCAATTTTCATTGGGTCAAGTTCCTTATAAAGATCAACGTTCAAAGATAAGAGATTGTATGGTCTAGAGCACTAAATACATGGACAACGGCAGAAAAGGAAATTAATTGGAGCATCACTCTACTGTTTTTGATGATTAAGTTAAGCTCTGTTTTCATAGGATACAGAAGATGTTACTCGTCGGGGTCAATCTGACAAAAGAATTCAAATTTTTTATTTCAGATATGATGTTTAATAGCCAATTTTTGGCCCGTCATCAAAATCATCACTAGTTGTCATCAAATCAATTATCGCTTTTACCCCAAAAAAAAAATCAATTATCGCTAGATCCGTGCGTCATTTAGAGGTATTTACAAGATGATCAATTTATCAGCCGGAAAAGGGAAGACGTACCCAGAAAGAACCTTGCCCTCCAAATTAGCAACCTCCGTAAGGGCTGCCTTCCACCTTTCCACCTTATGAGCAGTCCATTTCACAGATTTTTGGAACCGTTCTCCTCCGGTGTTGACATTTAACGCAAAAGTATTTTGTTGTTTCTTAACATCGGAGGGATCAACATGATAAAAAACCGGTACAACTATATGATAGAAGGTCTTTCTTCGGTCCATGATCAACAGAAGCTCATCAAGACATGATGTAGAATTGGCATAATTTTTTGACAATACAACTATTGAAGCCTTTGCCCTCTCGATTTGCGATTTCAGATCTTCATCTCTTTGGATCGAATCAGTGTCCCTGAAAGTCCTAATTCCGGCTCCAACTAACGCCTCGTAGAGATGATCTGTAAAAGAGTAACGAGTATCTTCGCCTCTAAAACTTATGAAAACATCATATCTGCTGTAATTTGTCCCAGGAGAAGCGATTGTACTAGAGGAAGCAGCAGAATCCATAGATCCCAAAAGAAGAGAGTATGAAAGGGATTAGAAATTAGGGTTTTCTAAAATCAAGAAATTGTAGTGGTCATGCTCAATTGGGTTTTCTCCTACGCAATCCTTTTCCCCAACTAACACTCATCAAAAAGAAAAAGGAAAACAAAATAGATAAAAGACATTATAAAATTCGTAGACCGCTAAATCATTTTTATTCGCATTAAATGTATATTTATGCTATATATAAAGCATTTGATAAAAAAAATTACAATGTCATTTTTTATGCATAAAGTACTATTTATTGATATATATTACTTAAAATTCAAGATTATAAATAAATTTTGTGTAACGGGGTGTTTGGGATTGCTTATAAAAGTTGTTTTTAACTTATTTTAGTCTGGCACCGGTGATAAGCTATTTTCTGATGTTTGGATAAGGAAAAAAAACTGCTTATACCGGTGTCAAACCGGTAATAAGCTATTTTTGATAAGTTAATCCTTCATCATTATAAAAAACTGATTATTACCAATTTACAATTTTAGCTCTGTTTTATTTAACTCTGGTTTGATACCACATAAGTTAATAAACACTTTTACAAACAAAAAAAAAACATAAGTTGTTTTAAATAAGCAATCTCAAACACCTCCTAAATATAATTTATTAAACTTTATTTTTGAATTCGTATAACTAACCATAGATAAACATAATCAAATACATAATAAATATCTCATTTTATATATAAAAAATCTAAAAATGATTAGGATAATCATTATCTTTATAAAAATTATATTGTTAAGCCAAAAATAAATTATTTCGTTATTAGACCTAAATTAAATTATAATAAAAAATTGAATTAAAGAAATTGTAAAAAAAACGAGAACTTTTAAATTAGTTAATTTGATATTAATATCAATATATTTTTTTAAAATTTTTATAATATTTTCAAATTTATTTTTATTCAAAAGTAAAGACGTTATCTTATCAAAACCACATAAACTGTATTATATATCAACAGAGATAAAAGATAAAACAAAACACTAAAATGAATATGTGTCTCATTATATTGTGCGAATACCCTTCTAATTTATATTAATACTAGAAATGTTCATCATAAAACTAACACGTAGTTTTATAAATATGTAATTATTACATTTTTTTTAATATAAATAATATTTTTACCTTTAAAGATACGGAACAAATTTCTCCCTCTCATAATAAGAATAGAATGAGAAGATAAAAACTGGGTCGTTTACCAAACATTTACCAAGTTATGTTACCTTACCGGATAAATATCGTAAAAACCAAAAATCTGACTCGGTAAGAGGGAGACAAGGACCGAGAGTCTTATCCAGTAAGTGAGGGCGACGACTCTTACCATGGTAAATGCTTACTGGGTAAATTGTTGCATACAATGCCGTTTTGGTGGACAAAAGTCTTACCCGGTAAGTAAGTAGTAATGTTAAATTTTACCGGTAAGCGGTTACCAGGTAAGTATTTGATAAACGGTCCCTTATTTATGAAAATGAACACTTATTTAAAAAAATTAAAATAATAATATAGACCCTTAATTTGGAACAAAATGGTATATAACTAATTTATTTTGTTATATGCATAAATTAATAAATAAAATTAATCCGAAATTCAACGTTCAATTTTACAAACTTCGTTAAAGTTTATTTTTTAATTCCTTTGTCCTTGACATATTTTCAATACTCTTAACAGTTAAATATCAGTTATAATTGTTTTCTGGTATATCATCGACCCCCAAATGTTTATGGCCCGTGCCTCGTTTTACTTTCTATTATCATCAACCCTTTTATATTATGTCCTTGTCAATGTGTCGTTGTCCTCTCAATGTCATCGTCGGCTTATTTTATTTTAGTTTTTTTTATACTAGTATGGGAACCGCGCGTTGCGCGGTAGCATGAGTGCTTTGATTAATGATGTGAGGATTGTCTATATAAATATATATTAATTGTTAATAGAATCATCAACAAATCATATTCAAATAATTTGAAAAAGTTAAATAAAATATAGTTAGTGAAATTTTAATACACACACACACACACATATATATATATATATATATATTGAGAGAGAGATTTGTTTAGTAATAAAGTTGTAAAACTAAATAAAATGAGTAACAATAACGACGGAAATATTAAGAAATCTGACACAAACTTAAGAATAAAAAATACTCCACATAAAGATATGTCTCCTTCAAAGGATGATGTACATGTATCATTTTTCATCTTCAACACACACATTGACTTTAAAAACACAATAGTGAATGGACCAATCATACGATATGTAAAAAATCACATACCAAACTTAAAACTTCAAATCTTTATAACCCAATAGATAAAATTATAATGCAATCAAAATCATAACATGAACATACATAAATTATAATACGACTAAACTTACGATAAGAACATACTTAAAAATATAATCCAATCAAAATCATGATACAAACATACATAACATTCTAATACACTCTAAATTATAAAACAAACTTGCATAAAATTCTTACTTTAGATCATAATCAAAAATTCCCACAACCCAAACTTGAAAAGTTCAAATTTTCAAGACTTGATATATAAACGTTAAAGACTTCGAAAACCTGCAAACCAAAAAACATTCAACATAAGTAAATATTACATGGTGAACTTGAACATTTTAAATCTTTACCTAATACATAAGAGTTATAATGCAAACAAAAATCACGATACAAACATAAATAAAATTATAATGCAATCAAAATAATGAAACAAATCAATATAAATTATGGGAGAAGTGAAAAAAAACTATGAAGATTATCAATAATAAAATAGAAGAAAAACCAAAGAAAAAGAAAATAAATTTATAGATGTATAAGATAAAGATAAATTTGTGAGGGTGTGAGAGATGAAGATGAATAAATAGTTGTTGTTTATATGTATATAAATAAATGATTGATGGGAAAAGATGAAGGGTTTGGAGTTATGTCATTTGAATTAATATAGATAGAGATGAATGGTTTGGAGTTGAATGCAAACATTTAACAAAAAAACATAAATTGACCAAAAAAATATATATTAGTGCATATTGAGAGAATGAAGGAGAAAAAAGAAAAAACGAGGTTTCTAGGCTTTAGGAGATGTCACTTCAAACACTCATGGTTTATTCTTTAATATATATAATAATACATAAGAGTTATAATGCAAACAAAAATCACGATACAAACATAAATAAAATTATAATGCAATCAAAATCATGAAACAAATCAATATAAAATTATTACCTTATATTGCAACAAAAAAATCAAATATTGAACTTCAATACTTCTTCAAAACTTCATGACATAATGCATAAAAACTATAATGCAATCTACATAACGATACAAACATACATAAAATTATGGGATAAGTGAAAAAACAAAACAAAAAGTTATGAAGATTATCAATAGTAAAATATAAGAAAAACCAAAGAACTTGAAACTTCATGACATAATGCATAAAAACTATAATGCAATCTAAATAACGATACAAACATACATAAAATTATTGAAGAAGTGAAAAAAACAAAAAAAAAAACTATGAAGATTATCAATAGTAAAATAGAAGAAAAACCAAAGAGAAGGAAAATAAATTTAGAGATGTATAAGATAGAGATAGCATTTGAGAGAATGTGAGAGATGAAGATGAACAAATAGTTGTTGTGTATAGATAGTTATTGTATGAAGCTTAAATTCAAAAAAAGTTTATCATATCTTGTGATTATAAAATATCAAATTTTTATTCGAATTTATATGATCGAATCGTAAACACAATTTATATGATTCAATCGTAAACACAATCATATCCTATGATAACAACACATCCAACAATATTGAAAAAAAAATATGTAATAACAAATCACATTTTTTAATGAAGACAATTTCTACATACCTTTTAAAATCTTTGAATTCTTTTCCAACTCTCACTTTCTTCATCCCTCACTAAAGAATTTTATATGATTTCATTTTGTTTATTATTGAACCTTTAAAAAACAAATTTCATTAAGAAATAAAAGAAAGTAAATGGAATAACAAATCAAGAGTTGGAGGTTAAACTTGGGTATACAAAATTACAAAAATAACCCGKGTTAATTATGAGCTATACATTTTTCATCCAGGGGCAAAAAAGTCTTTAACATATTCAACATTTAAAAAAATCAAAAAAATGAGAAAAAAGATAGGATGGATTCTAAGCATTAGAAGGTGCCACCTCATTACCTTTGGTTTCTCCTTTAATATATATATATATATATATATATATATATATATATTTAACTATTGAATAGGTTTTCCCTGATAATATTAGGTTTATGCTTTTTTGTAAGTTTTTTCAACTTTAAGAAAGTCCGTACAAAAAAGTATTACATTATTTTATAAATCATTAATGTATACATACAGAACAGAAGGAAGAACTGATATTATCATTACAAGTATTGAGTTTAAAACAGGAGCTCTTGGACGTCCTACGTGTACATCCAAAGAGTGGAGAAAAAAGCCTCAAAATTTTATGGAGATGTGGCTTTGGTGTTTGTGGTGGAAGTGATGATTAGATAAATATCCCGTTGGTAGGTCCTTCACCAAAAAACCAAATTGATCAGATGGTACGGCTACAAAGTTATTAGTAGTGAATTTACGGATGGAGATTAAGTTTTTGATGAGTTCGTGGGCATGAAGTTCATTGTTTACGGACAAAGGGGTAATGGAGATTGATGACAAAGTGATCACAAACACAAATTAGAATCGTGTTGTTACCAACAATTATGCCATGTTTATTACCCAGATTAAAAATAAGGCGGGAGTGTATGTTCTTTAATGTCATGTGAAATTTAGCACCGGTATCAAGGCATCAAATGCACCTTAAGCTGATTCATGATTCATAGGTTAAGAGTTGAAGATTGATGAAATTTCTTTAAGTTAGTGCTGTTAGAGGAGGCATGTTCGTTTCTATAAGTTTGAAAATATATATATATTAAAGAAGAAACCACATGCAATGATGTGGCCTCTTCTCAAAGCTAGAAAGTGTTTTATCATTTCTCTCATTTTCTCAAGTTTTTCTCACCTCAATATTTATTTTTGATTTTTAATATTCACTAATTACTTCAACC